ATAAAAACCTGAAACTGTAGCATGGGTTTTAAATGAGCCATCTCAGAAGCAGCTTTAGTCATACTTACCAAAATCTGAAAACAACTCAAATGTTCTTCAGCAGATGAGTGGTTGAACAAACTGTGGTACATCTATATGATGGAATACTACTTAACCATAAAAAGAAATTAACTGTTGACCTGTGAAATAACTTGGATGGATCTCAGTGAAAAAAGTCAGTCTCAAAGGTTACATACTATATGATTCTATTTATATGTTTCCGTTAGGTGTCATCAAATTGGGTATGACTCATAGTCACCCTACGTACACCAGAATGAAACACTGCCCAGTCCTGTGCCTCCCAACTTGAGTGACTCATCTTCTGGCACCATCTCTGACACAATGTTCCACTGCTACTCATGAGGTTTTCATTGGGTAACCATTCAGAAGTAGTCTTCCTCTCCTTCTTCCTACTTTATTTTAGCCTGGAAATTCTGCTGAACCTGTCCACCATGGGTGACCATGCTAATATTTAAAATACAGTGGCATAACTTCCAACATCACAGCAACACATAAACCATGACAGTATGACAAACTGACAAACAAGTGTTATCAGTTTATATAACCTTCCCCAGTGCTAGAATTATAAAAATGGAGAACAGATTTGTGGTTTCCATGACACAGGGTTGGGAGGTAGGTTGAGAGGATGAGGCATACCTATAAAAGAGGAATGCAGTGAAGTTCTTTGGTGGTGATAGAATAGTTCTATTGCTTGATTGTTTTGGTGATTGCCTGAAACACTGATTTTGAAAAAATTGTATAGAACTCTACACATATACATACACACAAGTTGTTGTTGTTGTTGTTAAGTGCTGCCAGTTGGTTCCGACCCTAGCGACCCTGTACAGGGTTTCCAAGGAGCAGCTGGTGAACTTGAACTGCTGACCTTGCAGTTTAAACGGCTTGGCAGTCTTGTGCATTAATCCACAGTGCCACGCTGGACTCCTACACACAAATGGGTGCATGTAAAAACTGGTGAAATATAAATAAGGACTGTTTCAGTCTTCTGGTTTTGATATTATAGTTTCATTTTATAGAATGCTACCGTTAGGGAAGGCTGAATGAATGGTACATGGTACACCCTACCTAATCTATTTTTATAGCTTAAGTTTATAATTATTTCAAAATAGTTTGTTTTTTTTTAAATCCTTTCTGAGGACCAGGCAATGCTGTTTTTATAATAGAAAGGTAGTGAATTTCTTTTTCTGCTTATTTGCATGTCAGTCCACAAATCTAAATAGTGTCTCAGACTTCCTTGGCCTCTTTGCCTAGCCTTCGACGACCCTCTAGTGTCCTCTAGCTGGGTGCAAGGAGAACATTTAGCTATTGTTTTAGCTCAAAGAAGTGGGATCTGGCACCCTATAGATATGATTGCTTGCTCTGCCAAGAGCTTATCTTTTTGTAAGATAGGCTGATTCATTTTTCTGGTTTGTGTTTCTATGGAGTGTTTGGAACTAGGCAGAGAAACCCATAGGTAATAGATGAGCAATTTGGAGCTGACAGCTGCTCATCATCCTGCTTTTTATAAATATTCGTGCCTTTTAATTTTTCTTGGAAGGTAGAGACAGAAACCACTGTAACCTTTCAGACTCTCTTTGTAAGCACCATCCTGTAAAACTGGGAAGAAAACAGTGTGTCACATGTATAATATATCCAATTAAAGCCCTTTGTTCACTTTCAACATAACTTCATTTAAAAAAATCTTTGTATTTGTGTCAGGTAGGGAGGGACTGAGGGAAAATTGTTTGAGATTTTAGTATAGTACATACAATAATTTAGCCATTTCAAACAGTTGAGCAAATTGTACACCTGTGGTTAGATTGACAGTAATGACAGTGATTTAATTTTCATAAGCAAATTGCTCCTGCTTTGACAACTCCTTAACCACACTTTCCTATATCCCAATTTTCCTAAAATGTAGCTAGGTTGGGCAGGGCCAGACCAAGATAGTCTGCGAGTGTGGAAGTTAGAGAACCAGGGCATGGATTATTCCACTTTATACCATAACTGTCCCATGTGAAGTTAGAGATTGAAGATGAGCTTTCATTACATTTCCTGACTCAGTGTTTACAAGACTTTCCCATACTTTCTGAACATTGAAAGTTGTACTAGAATTCGTGGACCTTGGAAAATCTTTAGTATATTTTTGGAGTAGAGGGCTCTGTGGATAGGCTATGAGCCCTGTCTTCCCTGGACATCTTAGAAGGTACTGGTTAAAGAAGGTTTTCTTTGATTGAGAATGATGACTGTGGTAAGCCACAGAGGTTTAACCATAGAGGTGTCTTGGGAAAATGTCTCCAGTTATTTTAGTTAATCATCTCTTTGTTGATCTCCTTAGGCACGGCAGGCCGAGGTAAAGCGGCTCTTCCGCCCCATTGAAGAACTCAAGAAGGACTTTGCCGAGCTGAATGTTGTTATTGAGACTGACATGCAGATCATGGTTCGACTGATCAACAAGTTCAATAGTTCCAGCTCCAGCCTGGAAGAGAAGATTGCAGCACTCTTTGATCTCGAATATTATGTCCATCAGGTATTTAAGTTCTGTGTCCTCAACTCTGACTTTTCATTAATAGTTCCATAAATAAATCCTTCTGCCCAAGTCCTAGAAAATGACATTAGTATCTTTGCTTTCCTGTGCCCTCCCCCCCACCTCCCAGGGTGTTAAGGATTGCTATTCTAGGACCTCTGATAGTTTAGTGGTTTTGTTGTCGGGCTGCTAATCTCATGATCAGCAGGTCTAAACTACCAGCAGTTCCACAGGAGAAAGATGAGGCTTTCTGCTCCTGTAAAGATTTACAGTCTTGAAAACCCTGTGCAGGGTTGCTAAGAGTTGCAACTGACTCCACCGCACACCACTACCACCGCTAATCTAGGTATAGGAGTCACGATGTGGCACTGTACTTTAATGCGCTGGACTGTAAAGTTGGTTTGGACCTCAAGGTTGGTGGTTCAAGCTTACGAGCTGCTCCTTGGAAACCCTATACAGGGTCGCTGTGGGTCAGAACCAACTCAACTGCACTTAACAACAACAACCTAAGTGTATATCTATTTTAGAAAGATACATTCTTAGAGGTCAGCCTCCTTTTATTTGGAGTGTTACCTCTTTTATTGTTCTATCACTGAAGATACATCAGAGATCAAATAAACATGGTGCCTGTCCTGTAGACCCCATACAGGATGAAGGTGAAAATGTGACATTTAGACTGAGCATTAAAAGATGAGTAAGAGTTGGCTAAGTTAAGAGGGGGTGTTTTATTTTATTAGTGCTGATACGGCACTTTCTCACAGTTTGTTATTGGTGATGTGTGTTATCAAGTTGACTCTGACTCATAGTGAGTGATTCTAAAGTACAGAACAAAACTGTCCTACAGGATGTAATCTTGACAGGAGCAGATTGCTAGGTATTTTCTCCTGTGGAGTGACCATTGGGTTTGAACTGCCAACATTTTGGTTAGCAGGAGAGTGCTTAACAATTTTGCCACCAGGTCTCCTTTCTCATAAATTGTTGTTAAGTCCTGTTGGGTTGGTTCCAACCCTTAGCCACTCTGTGTAAGGTTTCCAAGGAGTGATTGGTGGGCTTGAATTGCTGACCTTGCAGTTAGCAGTCCACACCAGGAGGCTTGAAGCTCAAATTCAGGATGTAGGCTCTGTTGTTATTGCTGTTGTTAGGTGTTGTCAAGTTGGTTCCAATTCATAGAGACCGTATACACAGCAAGCAGTCTATGGTACTTTTAATATTCTCCAACACCATAACTCAAATACATCAACTCATCTGTTCATGGGCCAACATTCACATGCATGTGATACTGTTGAAAATACCATGACTAAGGCACACCTTAAGCCTCAAACTGACACCTTTGTTCTCGAACAGATTTGCTTAATGTAAAGCATTGTTGACTATCTTGGCTGCTGCTTCCATGAGTGTTACTCGTGGATCAAAGTAAAATGAAGTCTTTGACAACTTCAATCTTTTCTCCATTTATCATGATATTATTAATTGCTTATAAGTAGGTAGACACTACTATTAATCCCCTTTATCACTGAAAAAAATGAGGAATAGTGAGGTTATGTTACTACTCAGGGCCATTCAGCTAGTGAGTTGGTAGAGTTAGGATTTGCAACAAGGTCTGTCAGAGCCTAAACCCTGTGCTTATGGCCTCTCACAGGATTGTGGTACCTTTTGAAAGAAACTCAAAAGAGAACAGGTAGAGCTAAGGAGGAGGGATGAAGAGGTGCCATATCATATACTTACATAATAGATTTATTGAGTGGCTGATAACAGGCACTGTAACAGGTACTTGAGATACATCTATAAATAAAATTTGGATCTTAAATTCTAACAGAGCAGACAGACAATAAACCTAAACTATAATGTATTTGAAGGTGATAAGTACTATGGGAAAATAAAATGTAGACCAAAGTAAGTATTGGCAGTGTTGGGGAAGTGCATTTCAGGAAGAAGGAACCAGAAGTCAAAAGCTCTAAAGCAGAGAATATGCCTAGTGGGTTTTAGGAACTGCAAGGAAATGGGTGTAGTTGGAATTGAGAGAAGAGAGAAGGAAAAGTAGATGGAGCTCAGAGATATTGGGAAGAAGATCATGGAAGACCTTGTAAGGTCATGGAGAATGTGGAGCGAAAGAATGACATAATCTGACTGACTTTTTTTTTTTTTTTTCTTATATGTTTTATTGTGAATTATGTGATAGCTTACATGGGAGAACATTAGTTTTACATTCATTCTATCGTATATCAATCGTTTATCGTCTCATTACCATGGTTACAATCCCCTCCATGCATCATCAACCAACCAAAGGGTATACCCTGCAATCCCTCCCCCATACCCCCCAGGTCTTCAGCACACATCACTCTCCCTCTCTGGATCTAAAGTCTCCAGCTGCTCCATTGCTCCATGTCATCATCTCTGCCTCTATTTCAGGCATCATTGCTTCTCTGGGTAGGGTCCCGCTCTCTGCTCTTCTCCATTAATGGTCCCAGGGACCTCCGCTCCTAGACTGAAAAGTTAATCACTCCCCTCCTTGCTATAAATGCCTACCTTTACATTTCCAACCCTCACAATCAGTCCTGATAACAATTATTCACTATTGTATCATCAGAGATCCATCTGCATTTCATTGCATCAGCCCCGCCTAGACAGATTGAATACTACTCACTGGAGATTCTACCTTCCTCCATGCCCTCTGGATCTAGGTTCCCTCTTGAAAGCTTGTAAGCCAGTCACTTCTTGCCTTTGTAGCCCCCGCCCCCCATTTTGGGTAGCCAATGTCCAAGTTGCCCATCCTTGTCTACTCTGTGTGTGGAGGAGGTGGAAATGATTCTTGCTGTAAGGACTTGTTCCCTTTTTTGAGCTACTGCTTCCATAGGTGTAGGTCAAGTTTATCAAATTGTATGAGATTACTTTTTTTTTTTTTCCTCTTCTTTTTACTTCTGGTTGAGCTCTGATCATCCAGTCATTGAAGCCAGGTCAAGTGGGTATTATCTGCAAGTGTGGGTGGTCTTATGCATATGCCCTCTCTTCTTACCGGCTGGACGCTTCACTCTCCACTCTAGTCCTCTGTGGCTATGTCACTGACTCTGGGCCCAAGAGTCCGCAGGTCTTGCCACACTGCTGGTCAACCAGGTCTTTACCTGGGTTCACAGAAGGATCTTTCCAGCTTCTGTGTTGAGAACTATTATGGTGGCAGGGGGCCTGGGTAGAAGCTAGGAGACCAGATGTGAATCTATTGCAGTACTCTAGACTAGAAACAATGGTGACCCAGGAAGGCTATGTAATCATGACCAAATGCTTGTTTGAGATCCTCAGCAAGATATATATCCTCAATGTTCTCCCACACATGACATTGTCTTTGTTCTCTATGTTGTTGTTATTAAATGCTGTCAAGTTGTATCCAACTCATAGCAAGCCTGTATAGAAAAAACAAAAATAACTTCATAACTTTATTGACTGGTGATTTTGAGTCACCCCCCCTTGTGGTTCAAATTGACCTCACAGTCCAGTGCTTATCCCACAGCACCATACCAGTTCTCTATAAACTAGGCTAAAAGACAGCCTTTCTTCCTTTATGATTTTGCCAACTTTTGTTGTGAGAAAGGATGAGTGTATACTTTATCTGCAGGAAATTTGGAGCAGCCTATTCATCTTCTTTCTCTGCTTATAACTCTTTCTCAAACCTTGAACAGGAGGACTGTGATCCTCTTAGGGGAAAAAAAAGTCTGGTTTCTCTTTCCCCTCTCCCAGTTTTTCCCTCCAGGGTAAAAAAAGAAAACTCCAACAGCTTTTTCTTTCCATTATAGATGTTTAAAGAAGTATGTTGTGGATCATAGGGGGTTAATTGGCCAACTCATTCCTGCTCTGATGTTGACAGCTTTTATTTTCCTCTATCTTAGCATACTTGGATGGATCTTTAGATATCAGATTTCTATAGGCACTTGCTTTAGTTACAGCATAAAAGACCAAGATTACTGGAGAGTTTATCATAACTATTTGGGAGGAAGCACACAGGATGCTTCAGCTAGCAGTGCCTCCAATAAAGTTATTTTTGTTTTTAATTCCCCTGAAGGCCCTCCAGTCATTTTGCAGTGCCATTCCTAAGATGACATTTTATTTTGCTTTCATGGGTCACTGGTTAAACAATTTCTTGGACAGCACTAGACTCAGCCAGAGGTCAGCCTAGGAACCATCCATTGGTAGAAGCCAACTTTGATCTTCTTAGTAGAAGAATCATAAATATTCTAGATCATTGGCCTTTTGATTGGAAGTGTAAGTAAAGTCCTTAATATAGGTTGGTCCATCAGGCTACAATGAAAGATTGCTAAGCTGAGGTTTCATAAAAGAATTAAAGGATGTATCTCAGCCTTGCGTTCCAGTTATGATTGGGAGTTGGGGTTTTGTAGTGCCAGTTGTGAATAACAGAGTTTTTCTAGTTAGGAGACTCACAAATCCATTCCCATTTCAAATTCACTGAATGGACATTTTGAAGAGCCAGGGGCTTCAAGGACCCGAACTGGGTCTGCCCAAGGATTCCTCACAGCCATATGTAAATTATTAAACAGGATTTGTAAAAATCAAAATCTTGTGTGTGGAAAACAGTTTGTGGGTTATTTATGAGAGGTGGCTTCTGTCTGCCCCATCAACCCTGGAGTGATGCATTTGCCTCCCCTTTTGTGACTCTTCAATTATTTACCATCATTTTTTTCCTTTCTCACTGCTAGGGTTCTTTACTTTCCTCCTGAGTGTTACTTTCAGTTTCCTATTATGCTCCCTCCCTCTGGCTTGAGCTCCTCTCTGCCTGCCCTATCCCTTCCTAAAGGCTGCCTGGGATGAGTTCTAGCTCCAGACTCAGATGAAGAGCTGTGATCCTGGGCTCTGGCCATAACCCAGCTTTATGTGCTTTATGTGCAGTGGGCAGAATGACTCTTTTCTTCCTCATCTCCTATGAAATTATAAATGAGAAAAATCTCAAAAAGACTGAAATACTTATATAAATGTCAACATTTATGTGGTACTGAATTATCATTGTAGTAGTAGGAATAATAAAGATAAACTGGATCTAACACAGAACCTCTGTGACTGTGGACAGTTGCTTTGTGACTGATAGAGTGGCAGCTGCTCTGCTAGGAATTCAGATCAACTTAGATAAGTGACTGACCCAGACATGAAATGAAAGGACTCTGAACCATGGTTTTATATCAGGAAAACCTAAAGGAAAGGGAATCAAAGAGAGACAATAAATTCTTAGATTTTAGAATCAGAACATGTGAGGAAGGAAGGCTCAGTAAGTATTATTTGTATTAATGTCAGCAAAGCACCCAACTCTGAATTTCCAGTTAGCTAGTTGTTGCCTGTTAATCATACTTCTTCATAAGGATAGATTGAAGTAGGAAAGTCCTGACTTTGACTAGTGGTCACATAGCATAGTAGATTTGATATGTTCTTCATGACTCTGGATTAACCATTTCTTCAGGTCTATGGAGTGCTGGTGGAGGTTCAAACCTACCAGCTGCTCTGTGGCAGAAGAATGAGGCTCTTTGCTCCCATAAAGATTTACAGTCTTGTAAACCCTATATAGAGTTGCTATGAGTCATAATCAACTTGATGGCAGGAGATTTGTTTTTTGTTTTTAATAGTGCTAGTGCCTACTCCATTTAGTTGGCACAGACACGTCTCATTGCCTTTTGACTCATAGGGGACTTTGTTTCAGAAACATTTTCTGCAATAAAATTAATTCAGTGATTATTTATTGTGCACTGAACTTTATGCCCAGCACTGTTCTAATCAATGGAGCTACAACAGTGGACAGACAGACAAAAAAAACCTGCTCAGTGGAGAAATTATATCAAAGTGTGTAAGAATGATTTCCCAAGTGTTAAAGCAGGCTTGTTTTTTATTAAGTACCATTGAGTCAGTTCCAATTCATGATGACCCTGTGTAGGGTTTCTGAGGAGCAGCTGGTGGATTTGAACCACTGACCTTGTGGTTAGTAGTCCAGTGCTTATCCTACAGCACCACACTAGGCCCACCTAAAAATATTGGCAGAGTCAAATACAGTGCTATCCTTTCAAACTCAACTTCTGCAACAGTCTTCTTGCAGTTTGGAGACAGAGGTAAGGACATGAGTAGATAGGTAGAAAACTGCTCTGTGATACCTGGAGCAAAAAGGTGGGTGGAAGTCACATTGCTTGGCTTTAGCTTTCTGTTTATTCTTTTTTTAATGTTTTATTGTGAATTATGTGATAGTTTACATGGGAAAACATTAGCTTTACATTCATCCTATTGTATATCATTTCATTGCCATGGTTACAATCCCCTCCATGCATCCTCAAACAACCAAAGGGTACACCCTAGAAGCCTTCCCCCTGGTCGTCAGCACACAGCCCTTCTCCCTCTCTGGGTTTAGAGTCCCACTCCATCTCTCCATGTCATCTTCTCTGCCTCCATTTCTGCCATCACTGCTTCTCTAGGTAGGGTCCCACACTCTGCTCTTCTCCCTTGATGGTCCCAGGGCCCTCCGCTCCTGGACTGCAAAGTTAACCACTCCTCTCCTTTTGCTACAAAATGTCTACCTTTACATTTTCAACCCTCACAGTCAGTCCTGATAGCAAGTATTCACTATTGTGCCACATGAGTGCCATCCCCATCACCTTTCATCAGCCCCACCCAGACAGATTGGCTACTACTCAGTGGAGATTCTACCTTCCTCCGTGCCCTCTGGATCTAGGCTCCCTCCTGAAATTTGTAAGCCAAGTCACTTCTTGCCTTTGTAGCCCCTCCATTTTGGGTAGCCAATGTCCAAGTTGCCCATCCCTGTCTACCCTATGTATTGAGGGGGTGGGAATGATCCTTGCTTTAAAGATTTATTCCCTCTTTTTAGCTACTGCATCCCTAGGTGTAGGTCAAGTTCATCAAATTGTATCAGATTACTCTTTTCTTCCTCTTCTTTCTTCTTCTAGTTGAGTACTGATCATCCAGCCATTGAAGCCAGGTCAAGTGGGTATTATCAGCAAGTGTAGGTATTCTTGTGTATACTCCCTCACTTCTTATCAGCTGGATGCTTCACTCTCCACTTTAGTCCTCTGTGGCTATGTCACTGACTCTGGGCCCAAGAGTCCCCAGGTCTTGCCATACTGCTGGCCAACCAGGTATCCACCCGGGTTCACAGGAGTCTATTGACTGTGGTAGGGCTTAGCTTGCTGCTTCATTAATGCTTTTGCCTCACTTCCCCTTATCAGTAACCAATGTAGTCACCACTCAGAGCATGTGTCTGCTCGTATATTCCCATTGAGTCTTAGTCTTGGAAGGGGGTTTGCCCTGAGGGGGACCTGACCACTTGCCTTGATGTCTTCTGGGCAAGCAGCTTGCTTGTCCTTGTAGTAGTCAGTCAGACTGCCATTATTGTTTTGTTTTTTTCCTGTTGGTCTTTCTTTCAAGAAGCATCTTCTGTTCTTCTAGCCATTCCAGGCTGGTCTGCTTGTCCTTTCAAGTGGAAATTTCCCACCTCAAAAGATTCTGGATGGGGTTCAGGATTCCACTTAAGGTCTTATGTAATGCAGAGGCTCCACAGGAAGCCTCCTTCACTGGACATGTTGTAGCCCCATGTTTCTGTATATTCTGTATATTCTTGATGATTTGTGCAGTGGGATCAGCATGTGGGCATGAGGCAGCCTATATAGCTACAAGGATATCTTCAAAGGAGATTGTAGAGGGAAAACAAGATCCAATGACCTTTCTGAGGAAACAGTTTTCTTATCTCATGATACTAATGAAACTTGGGGAATGAGATACCATGTAGAACAGAGGAGAGTCAGTCTGAACTCAAGGCTCTGGACCTTAGGTGATAGACTAGATCAATGCTGTCCAGTTGAAATTTCTATGATGATGAGAATGTGCTGCACTGCCCATTATAGTGACCACTAGACACTAACACCAGCCTACACTAAAGTTTTTAGAAGGCGTTAGTGAATATCTGATCATGAATCTTGTCAGATTCTGTCAGCTTTAGACAATGAAGTAAAAAAGGGGAATGAGAAGGGTATTTCTCTTTAGCATGCATCTAGCACCCCCACTATAGGGCCCCTTGAATAGTTCTTTACTTGTAATTAAAATTCATCTTTTTTGGTTGTTTTTTAATCCCTGCTGCCTCCACTGCCCTCATTGGAACTGGACATGAACAGGAAGCATGACACCATTTAGTAGTGCTGATGACGCCAGATTCTTTGTGTTAACAGCTTGTACATTGAGAGTAAGCTTTGTGACTCATTAAGGTATTGGAATTTTCCAGGACATGTTTGGCATAAGCAATAGCTGGGTGCCATTTCCGTTGATTCCCACACAGGTACTCATATATTGTTAGATGAAGTAGAAGTTCTCAATTTTAAGATTACTTAACATTTCAGTTTGTTTTTGAAAACCCTTTCCTAGTTAGTCATTGCTTCTTACTTGGTTTTAAAACTTGTCTTTGGATATTTACCAAAAGCAAAAGAATATTTAAAAAGTTCTTCCTTCCTTGATGGTTGTACTGTACTAAGCAGTGCCTTTATTGCAGATGGATAATGCTCAGGACCTGCTTTCCTTTGGTGGTCTTCAAGTGGTGATCAATGGGCTAAACAGCACAGAGCCCCTGGTGAAGGAGTATGCTGCGTTCGTGCTTGGGGCTGCCTTTTCCAGGTGAGCAGTGTGAATGGACTTCTCATTGGCCAGGATGGTTTGGACCTTTCAATTGAAATTGAGCTTTATTCTTGGCCTGATGGATAGGAAAACGGTTATAGTTGAACTCTTGCACATCTTTACCTAGATGTCAGAGTTATCCCAAGAGAACTAGAGTCAGAATTTGCCCTCATTCTAAGTTTTATCAGTTGTTGCCATCTGTAACTCTCTGTACCCCCTGGCTTTTATATATATGGACATCAAATAACACAGTTTTGGTTGCATTCTGTGTTTCATTCAAAGCTAGTAAAGTAGAACAACCATAGATAGTAGGGAGGGAGGGGAATCAACACCAAGAGTTTATCCTTTTGACAGTGAGGCTACATCTTATGATGAATAAATGATGAACCTGACCAAAGGTGGCCTATTGGGGGACTGTATTGTTCAGAGCCAATCAGCATGCACCCAGGTTATTGTGCTCTCTGCGATGAGAGTTGTTTCGAATTTCAATTATTCCTGTTTGTGCTAGAGGACTGATCCAGAAAGAGGAGCAGGGAGGCAGAATCTCCAAATAGTGAATTTAGAAAGATATGTATTACATACATCATTATACTCATCCTATAAAGGTCAAGATGCCTTCCTGCTGCAGATGGTCTGTTGAAGCTAGAATTCTTCTCACTTTCAAATATCTATTCTTTGTGCCTCTAAAATGAGAACCAACATTCTGATTCCTGATGCAGTGTCATGGGTGGTGGTTATTAGGAGTTGTCTGGCTTGACTGTAGGAAGAAGACTATTCTGAACATATTTACATTGGCGGCTTTGTTCTGAAAAGCTTTCCTTTTTGTATTTAATCAGAACCTCAGACTGACACCCTCTCATTCTGAGAGGCTCCAGCATCTTAGTAAATTAAAGAGCAGAGCTGAGAGTGCTTCAGGCCTTTTTTTCCTTATTCCCCTTATCAGTATACTGCCTTGAACTTCAATCCCTAGTTGTCCTGTGGTTGTGTTGTTGATGGGCAAAACTGGGGCCTTCAGGGAGACTTCACATATCCTGGCCTGTATTTCGTTCTGTTGTGCATTATTATTAATGCACATGAGTCCAGTTAGCTAGTTGTTGCCTGTTAATCATACCAACTTGATGGCACCTAACAACAACCAGACCCATCCTAGAAATCTTTTTTATAATCTCAAGTACTTTATTTCCACCTTACAGTCTTAATAAATTATTATACATGTTTCTTGTCATTGCTTTTAGAAATACATTTCTTGGGGAAAACTGTATAGCATCTTGCTGACACAGCGTAGTTAAGGAGGACTAACTGACTTGGGAAGCATGCATTGGGCCTACTTAGCAAACCTTAACTTACCCAGGGGTTATGCCAGTATGTGACATTATTGTGACTTTTTTGTGACTATAAGACAATGTTAACATTTATGCAGCATCGCTAAAATTTAAATGGAGATAAATAAAAATATTGCAATTTAGTGTTTTGGTATCAAACAAACTGCTGTATTCGAAATGTTCTAGCTGGGCTTTTGATGACTCACTGGAGGGCTGTTACAATGACAGCATGGTATGGCGCCAGAGCTTTTGGAAGCCAGCAGCAGGCTCATGAACATCAGGAAAATGTCAGTGTTTTATGCAAAGAGTATCTTGATGCAAGGTAACAATATTTCTGCTCAGAGAGGCAGATTTCAGTGTTCTAGTCTGATATTCATTATTAACTTTTGTTTAGTATTGGTTCTGCACCTCCCTACCTGTGCACATACAGTTGTTCGCATAGGAGCATACATACCACATACATATGCATGCACACACAGTGACTGAATGAGCTGACTCTGTCAAGAGAGCATAGTGGGCACCCTGGAATCACGGAGTCCCAGGGCAGGGCTGTCAGCCAGACATCATTCCTTCTAGCTTTCTGCTAATGGGCAAGAATATTATCCCAGTTGTCTCAATGTTTGAGTATCTGGGAAGACTAGGAAGACCACTGACCAGGCCTAGAGTCAGGAAATCTGGCTTCCAGTTCAGTACCATTTTCTGACTGTAGGCTCATAGTCAAGTGATTTACCTCACCATTAGTCAGAATCAACTTGTCTTCAGTGAGTTCAGTGTTGTTATTGTTGTTGTTTTGTAGATCTCAGCTATTTCATTTGTTAACTGAGGACTGCAGTAGATGTCCTGTGCCCTAAGGCTGGGTGAATATCAAATAATATACAATAAAAGAAAAAAAGCCAAACACATTGTTGTTGAACTGATTCCTACTCATGGCTACCCATGTGTTGCAATATAGAATTGTGCTTCTGAGAGTTTTTATGGCTGTGACCTCTTGGATCACCAGGGTTTTCTTTCAAGGTCCTTGTGGGCGAGTTTGAACTGTCAGCCTTTACAGTAAGTTTTATGAAATGATTATAAAGTACCTGTCAGTTATAAGGTGATATAACATCATCACCACCCTAATTATGATAGGTCCTTTTTAATATCAGTTTTCACTGTAAGGAAATTCTTTCATAGGTTAGACCTAAATTGTTTTTTTACATTATAGACTTTTACCCTCCTCGTTTTCTCTTAAGTGCTTATGTTCTGCCACGTGTCTCTTGGTGCTAATCTTGCCGCTGTCTGGGTTAATTGCTTAATAAGGCCTCCATGCATTTCTATGGATGAAGATATCTCATCTGGTATTAAACAAGAAGCAATTATTCTAAGATCAAGAAGATATTGTTGACATAAATTAACTGACATAGACACTCAGTGTTATATGGCCACTGAAGTAAAGTTTGTTCGTTCTTCTATTTGAATATTTTTCCTACTTATTTATAGGTCACGTACACTCATTATCTGCTTTTTGCTGCCCAAGCTTTTGTATAAGAAGATTTGAGGAGAGGGGGAAGCTGGTGCTCATGATGTCACCATTTAAAAACAAACAAACGCTTCTTTCTCCTACTCAGTTCAGTTGTTTTCATTAGCCTTTCTACAACCTGATATTGTCTTATGAAGGCACTTGTGTGTCTGCCTCAGACTGACCTACCAGGAGTCTCTGCAGTCCCAGACAAGTCATTTGTGTCAGTATAAAGGAAATCTCAGCAAGGCCTTGTAAATTTCAGAGTCCATGCTGTCTTCTGTAATCTGGTTTTGGTTTCAGTTCTCAGCAAAGTAGCTGTCTGCTTTTGGTTTTCTCTTGTCTTCCTGTACATAATCTTTACCTTTTAGCTGTCAGGAGATATACTTTCTAGGCTGGTGTGCTTACCCCATGTACCACTGGCTTTTGCTGTTCTCATACACCTACCTCTGTCATTTTTTTGGTCCTTCTACCTTGGACACCCTCACTATGAGTTGAAACTGACTCCATGGTACTTAACAACACAACAACATCCATCTTTGGAGTCCTAGTGTAGGACTGTAAGATAAACACTGTAGTCCTTAAGGTCGGTTTGAACTGCAAGATTGCCAGTTCAAACTCACCACCCACTCCTTGAAAATCCTATACATCGTCATTATGCGTTGGAACCAACTCAACGGCACTTAACAACAACAACACTAAGTGCAAGGTTGACAACTCATACTCACCAGTTGCTCCTGAAAACCCTATACAGGGTTGCTGTGAGTCGGAACTACATGCATGGATTATTATGCAATTACAGTGACTGCTCACTGTACACAGTTGTTTGAACTGTAGTCCACAGTTTGCAGGATGTCATGGAACTAAGCACTGTACATGCAACAAGGGCTGTACATGCTATCCAACTTGAGATTGTGTTCTTTGTGATTGAGCCCTGGAACAGGCTTCTTTTCTGATTTCTCTCTTCTTGACATCTTCTTCCATTGCCCTAGCAGATTGTGGATTACACATATCTTTTTCTGAAATGAATGGCTTTTTCTGTGCACCCCGCCCCCACTGCCCATGCTTTGTTGGCTATGTAGTGTCCTCAGTTGTACTCTTCCCACTTAGATTTTATTGATTCATTTTTAACCATTTGCCAGTGTTATTTCTACATCTCACCTATGTCTTCCACTCTTGAAGCCTGGTGGCTTTTGTAAACTTGTTGTAGCACAACATTCTTAACTCTTCACTTTTGTCATGCACTTGTTTTTATTATTAAGTGCTGTTGAGTTGGTTCCTACTCATAGTGGCCCTTTATCGGGCTTCTAAGGAGCCGCTGGATACTTAGAAATTCATTTCAAATTTTTTTCCAAGATCTTGTATTCTCTGCCCACCTCTATTATCTCTTCACATTTTCATCACCTGTTGAGTATGCTTTTTGTCCTTGTTGTGACCTCCAGCTCCTGGTACACTTTTCTGTTTTCCCCATTAGCACCTGTGCTCCTCACTCTTTCCTCTTTATAGGCTTCTTCCTCTTAACTCAGAGATGTATTCAGGTTGCCTGTCCACTTACTTTTGCCTTGCCACCAACCTGTCCATTGACTTCCTTTTAATTATCAAGTTTCTTGAAAGAATAGGTGAAAAAAAGGTGAGTCCAAATGAGTACACATCAGCTAATATTCTCAAATGCTCTATTTCTACAATCTGGTTTCTGTTCCTATAGTACTTTGGCACCATTAACACCTCTCTTGTTAAGTGACATGAATTTGGTCCCTTAGGATTTCCAAGGAGCGACTAGTGGGTTTGAACTGCCCACTAGTCACTCCTTGGAAACCTTCAAGTTAGCAATCCAGTGCTAATCCCACAGTACCACACTAAAACATATCTGTAATATTAACCTCTACTTTCCTTTGGAAATTTCACCCTTAGCTGCCATATCATTATAATCTCTTGGTTCTTGGATGTATAATTAATTACTCCTCCATTTTCATTTTCTAGCAGCAGCATCTTCTTAATGTATCCTAATTGTAGCTATTAATCTAAATTCTTTTGACCTTGTCCCTCTTCTCCTGTTGTTCCCCCATGGATTCAAATCCTCCTCCACTATATATAAGTCCCATATTTACATTTAAGTCTAGCCTTTCTCCTGTTTCTGCCAGACTGTCTAATTATACCACAAACTCAGGAAAATTAAATGG